AGTTTATATTTTTCTTTGTCTGAGTTGACATGACAGACACCATTCGATTTCCATCGGGTTTCCTGAAGGCAGCAGATGTCGAGCATTTCTGCGATTTCCATGCTGCGGCCAGTCAATGATTCAACATTGAGCGTTTCAAGTCTAAGTACCATAGAGGGGCCATTCCGAATTTTTCTGTAACATCCCTCCGCTATTGCATACTTTCCAGGGATTCTTGGCACCCCTTGACCACTTAAGGCCTGCTGGGGACTAGGGGCCGTTGTTTTTCTTTGCGATGGCATAAGAGTAATTTAGGGAAAAGTTTTTACATCTGGACACCCATATATATATATATATATATATATATATATATATCCTGGTAAAAGACCGAATTCTTGACAAAATGTAATAAATTCCACCGATTTATTAGTGTTTATCAACTTGTATTCGAATTTGTTTTAGTAAATTTTTATCGACAAGATTAAGTCTTGTCCTGGGCATGACATAAAACTGCATCCACGCTGCCTCTGCCTTGCGTGCTTTTGAGCAAAAGGCTAGGCCCACCGCTTATAACTGGTGATTGAAAGGATGTAAAAAATTTTCCAAAGTTTATTCCATGCCATCACATACAAACGAATGTCGGCAACACCGTCTGAGGTTTGGTCATGTTCAACGATGTACCAGACACACGTCCCAAAGTTCGTCCGAAGAAGTCCTAGTCGCAAACAATCGAGCAAGATATGAAAGCTATAAATTTAAATGACAACTTTTGATACAACTGTTACAAATTGATACAACTGATCGCCTAATTTGGCGCAAAAAATTGATGGCAAAGAAAACAACGTCCTACCTCGGGAGAACTGGGTCTCTGGACGCTAAACGAAGATTGATTGATTGAATTTGTTTAAAATTGAAGCTTTATTTTTATTAACAAACACTTTATCAAAATTATTGTAGATAGATCTATTTCGACATTAAACCGTTGTCGTCAGTATATTATTTATAAATTTATTAATTAGTATTGTTTCAGTTTTAATATTATTAAAAATATATACAAATAAATTCGAAAAAAAACATGAAATTCTAAAGAAAAATTTAAATGAAAATTTTTAAAATTTTTGAATAACAGTTGTCAAGGCGGCAAAAACAGCGTCAAAATTGTGAGGCGCGAAATTCATTAATTTATTATTATTATTGTTATCATTATAGTTATCATTATTATTGTCTTCATTATTTTAATAATAATAATAATATTGTAGTTTTTATTATTATTATAGTTATTACTATTATTATTATTTTTGTTGTTGCTGCTGTTGTTATTGATTGTGTTGTTGTTATTATCATTATTGTTGTTATCATCATTGTTAGATTGCTGGTTAATCCGATTAACTTAATTTTTCGAGTATATATATATATATATATATATATTTATTTATTTATTTATATTTATATATATATTCAATTCAATAATCCTTTTATTCAGCAAACATATGCGGAAAAAACATATGTTATTCGCTAGGAGATCCGAAGTTAGCACTTGTAGGGCCACCCAGATCAAATAAAGACAAAATACTTCTTAATAAACAAAATACTTTTAAATAAACATAAGTAACAAAAGAAGAGTCTCAAAAGTCCATACACACACATACACGCTATTATATCCATTCACTTATTTACCAACTCAAATCATCTATCCATCACGCAATTATATCCATTCACTTATTTACCAAATCAAATCATCTGTCCATCAATTCACGCAATTATATCTATTGATTTACCAAATCATCCATCCATCCATCCACCTAGCAAACCAAATTATCAATCAATCAACCAAAATCATTTATATTACCAGTATATCTGAGGCCTTAACCTGTAGGACCACCCTGATCAAGATTAATAGAAATATATAATAGTAAAACGTTTTATTCATAAATTTAAAAAATAAATTGAAACAAATGAAGCTAATGTATTGGAAGGAGAGACTTAAAATAATTAGTTCTAATCATTTCAAGAATACTTCTCTTTTAAACAAGCTGAGAGAAGTAATATTTTTAACTTATTCATGTAAAAAATCCCATAGACGAATAGAGACAGAAAAAACAGAATTATAAAAAAAAATTGTACGTGGTTTAGATAAATAAAAATCAGGCTTATTTCTAAGACCAATCGAGCGAGTATTGGTTAAATAATTCATTTGACTATATAAAGAAGAACATTGATTTAATCTATGCAATTTATTTATAAAAAAAACAGTAACAAATTTCTAGTATATAAATCATTAACTTTTATGATATTAGATACATCATAATAATTATCTACATGTTCAAATCTATTTAAATTAAATTAAATACGCATGAAATAATTTTGACAAACATTTAAGTCATGTCGATTAGATTTAGTAGTATAACCCTAAATAGAATTACAATATGTAAAGTATGGCAAGATAATAGAATTATATAATGTAAGCAAAATATAATTTGGAAACCTAGACCTTAGTCGATAGATCAGCCCTAAATTTTTTATAATCTTCTTAGATATAAATTGTATATGATCTGACCAAGATGAGTTACAAGAAATATTTACACCTAAAAATCTTATGTTATTAACCCTTTGAATAACATTATTATTTATTGATAATTGTATATTAATAATATTAGTACGTATCTTAGGACCAAAAAGAATAAAATTAGTTTTTGCTATATTAATTCTTAAATTATTAGACTGAACCCACTGATAAACATAACATAATTCATCATTAAAAATAGAAATCAAATCAATAATACTAAAATGAGAACATAACAAAGTTGAGTCATCAGCAAAAAGAACAAATTTCAAGATCTTAGATGAGTTGATAAAATCATTAATAAAAATATTAAAAAGCAAGGGACCAAGGATAGAGCCGTGAGGGACTCCAGACAAAATAGGTGAAGTAGAAGATATGGAACAATTTATGAAAACATATTGATACCTATCCTTTAGATAAGAAGCAAACCAGTTATAGGCATGCCCACGAATACCACATATAGAAAGTTTATATAATAATATTGAATCATCAATAGAATCAAATGCCTTAAACATTAACACAAAATTTCTTAGATTCAATAGCATTAGAAATAGAATTCACAACGTCGGCTAAAGCAAACTCAGTAGAGCGTCCAGCTCGGAATCTATACTCATTTGAAATTAAAAAATTATTAGAATTTAAAAACTTATTTAATCTTAAAAATACCATTTCAATAATTTTGGATAGGTTAGGTTAAAGGTTTATCTCTCTCTTTTGCGTTTGCTTCAGAGGTTTCAACGACAAACACACACAGCGTACAGGAATACGCGGGCAAATCACGCATCATACACATTGCATATAATAGGCGGGGATCTCTTTTTATTCGAACCCAGTCATTGCAATAGCAAGACCAGGCGCCTTTAACCATTGAGCCATCACGCCGCCATGAAAATCATAGGCATGAAACAATAGAAATAGGACGACAATTATTAATATCATGAGGATCACCAGACTTGAATAGAGAAGTAACTTTAGACATTAAGACATTAAGGAAAATAGCTATTATTAAAAGACAAATTAATCAAATGTTGAAGAGGAATAATAATATTGTGTAGAGTTTTTTTAAAAATAAAATGCCATACTGATAACCACCTATTGAAACGCGCTACAACAGTCTTCTCTCAATGACTTTTTCAATAACTTTAAAGGGAAGTTCCAGAAGACGTATACCCCAATATGAGGAGCATTTCAGTGGATTTCCTCTTCCTTTATATATCGGCACAGTTGTGCTACTGTTCCATTCCACTGGTAGTATGGATTTACTCCACATCTCCCGACAGATGTGTAGGAGGGCTCTGAAGCCTGCCCCACCAGATGCTTTGATGATATCATTTGTCCAGATGGACCAGCCACTTTACCCACTTTCATTGCCTTCAGCGCATCCGTAAGCTCTTCAGCTGTGATGTCCTAAATCGGTTTTCCACCGGAAGTGCATCAGAGTCCACCCCAATAAGGTTTGTTTCATTCAATAACTGATCGAAGTAATCTTTCCAGTGATCCTTCACTTCACTCTGCAAGGTTATTATGGTGCCTTTATTATTCTTTATGCATGTGACACCAACTATATCTTTTTTCAGTCTTTTGGCCTGATTTGCAATTCGGTAGAGTGACCGAATTTGTTTGCCTTTACTTCCAGTCAGCCATACCTTGCATTGATTTGCACGAGATATCGCAACCTGACATTTCGCTTCTGTGTTCTTTGATCGGTATGTTTTTCGATCTTCATCAGTTTTTGTCTTCTGCCATTGTTTGAAAGCTGCTTTCTTACTGGCAATAACATTTTGCAACGTCTCGTTCCACCACCAAGTTTCGCGGTTGTGCAGGCGTATTGGTCCAGATTTTCCACATACAGCTTTTGCAGCGTTTATTAGGGTGTCCTGCAAAGATTTCCAGGTTATGTCTATCTTCTCCAGACGATCCAACTGTGCCGATACCAACTCCTCGAATTTCTCCCTAAAATTTCTTCAGTTTCCAGGTCTTTATTCTAGTAGGCATTCGATTAGTCGCATGGCATGATAGTTCCATGATCATATCGGCCACCGGCAATCGATGTTGAGGGATGCATGCTTCGCCTGGAATAACTTTTGTACTCATGAATATTCGTCTGTGTTGTTGTCTGACGACAATAATGTCAATTTGTGTGCATGACATCCCGCTTTTATATGTGATCAAATGTTCTGCCCTCTTCTTGAAATAAGTGTTCAGGCTTTCAGCAAATCCCAGAATCCGTACACCGTCTTCGTTTTGAGACCCATAACCAAAGCCTCCATGGAAACCGTGGAACCCATTTGCTTTATCCAACATGGCCATTGAGGTCGCTACATATCAATTATATCTCTGATGATGGTGTTTTCCTGAAGGCATCTGAGAGTGTGTTTTAGAAGTCATTTTTGGTGTCTTCAGATTTACCGGTCTGTGGTGCATATGCAGAGAAAACAGTCAGAACCTGTTTTCCCATTCAGAGTTTAATCAGCATTAGGCGTGTCTTGATTCGAACCACCTCCAGTACATTTTGTGCCAGTGATTTCCGTATGAAGATTCTCACTCCATTTTGGGCTGTCTTTTGACCATTCCAGAACAACTTGTAACTCCTAATGAGAGAGACACCATTTGATTTCCATCTTGTTTCCTGCAGAGAATAGATGTCAACCCTTTGCCTTTCTAGCATGCCGACTATCTCCGTTGAGCGTCCAGTAAGCGATCCAGTATTTAAAGTGCCCGGTCTGATATTCTAGGAGGGGACGCCCGATTTTCAGCAATATACCTCCACTTTTGCGAACTTCCTTAATATTGTCACCCTTGACCATTTAAGGTCTTCCTGGGAATAGGGAATATTTTCTTTTTTTTGTGATGACATGGAAGATGTTTGGGTCAAAAAATTTTTTTATCTGGAATTGCCAAATTTCTAACGACAACCATCAGTTATAAGAATTCATAACTTTACATAAACTTTATATAACTTTATAAATTTATAATTTATAACCAGTTATAAGAAACCACCAGTTTAACTCGTGTCCACGAGAGCACTGTTGTAAGCAGCGCACCTAGCCTTTGGGTCAAAGGTCCCTGTTCTACAAAGCAGTGGATTTAGAATAGAAGATCATTCGCTGTTGAAGCCGTTGTCCTAGGATCCTACGCCTCTCACCGTTGTCTTCTTTTTTCTGGTATAGTTGGTTCGCGGCATCTGGCATCTTATTCCGTATTATTAAATGCAATCCTAAAAGGTTTCACTGTCCAGGACTTTCCCTTATCCACCACCTGGGGAAGCCAGTGTACACCAGCATGAAAAAATATATATATATAGATATATACATACATATATAATGGTCTCCTTCCGACATATACATATATGTATATATTCTATCAAGCCGAAATCGAAATGTCATATTTATTAATCACCATGAATAACTTTAATGCATGATTTCATTTTAATGTATAACATTTGAGAAAAATTTTAACTTAGATTTATAGTAATTGTTTATGATATTAGTATTTATTATTATTATGTTAATCCTAAGATAAACATTTTATTACTCTTTTGACATTTTGACTGGAATATAACTTTGATTCATTTTAAAATGATAGAGGGCCATGAATGTCCGATTTGTTTGCAAACCTGTGTTCAACCAGTCTTGCTGCCTTGTAATCACATATTTTGTTATTTGTGCGCCAAAGGACTGGCCAGCCATTCAAAAAAATGTGCTATGTGCAGGAAAGTTATACCGGACAATTACATGGTGAGACCAAAACTGCTTGATGATTCTGCTCCAATGCCAGCAATAGACGGTTTAACTATTAATCTTGTTGTTTGCTGTTTTCTTTTCAAATTTAAACAAATTTTTTTTCCTATTTTTTATTTGTTTTGTTCTATTTGATTATTGGTTCTATTTTTTAAAATTTAATTTATTCATTTTATTTTTACGTCATCTTGGCTATTTTTGTATTATCTTGGTCAGTTTTGTATGTTTGCTGATTTGTATGTTGGTTTCGTACATGTTTAATCGTACAACTCTCCACTACACATAATAAATCCTGTACAAATCTGAAACCGTTTCAGAATCTTTGATTTATTTATAACTTTCCATTGTCCTAGCAAGATGAGATTTCGTACACTTGCTCATTTTCGATGACTGAAATAATTAAATTAATTCATTTGATTAATTAATTATTAAAGTAAGTGAATATATGTCTGACGAAAAGTTATGGTATTATGCCTTATTTTGTTTATTCTAATTCATTCGTTTGATTATTTTTGTCCCATTTGTTTATTTATATTTTTTAAATTTTACATTATTTTTATTTTTCATCTTTTTTTGTATCTATTGAATACATAACATTTTTGAGCATTTTATTTTTTTGTAATTTCATTTTTATTTGCTATAATCAGAAAACGTCATCTTGCTAATCCTGCCAGAGCGTTTATTGAATTACAGAAATGTATGCTATAAGAATTTATTTGATTGGTAGATCGATTGGTTGACTAAGTGATTGGTGTATTGAGTGATTGAAAGATAATAACTATCAAGTAAAAAAACTTTTGTTACAACATAACATTTTTGTTAAATTCAATTAAATATATTTTTCAAAATTTTTTGGTCTAGGCAAGTACCAATGGTTCTACCGAGGAACAAATGGATGGTGGCAATACGACCCTCGTGTTAGCAATGAAATTGAATTAGCTTTCAACAATGGTGAAGTCTCAGTTAAAATAATGATATCTGGATTTTTATACATAGTTGATTTTAAGAGTATGATGCAATATCGAGAAAATATTCCAAGTCGATCGAGGTGTATAAAACGTGATCTCATAAACATACCAGATAAAAAGGGAGTTGCTGGTCTCTACAAAAATAGAATTACAGAAGACACTGATGACTCCGGTTCCAATGCTGACAACTTAAACTCCTCGTTGTTTTTTGCTGGCGATTCACCCAGCATTAATGTAGTTGGTAATGATAAAAATGTTGCTGGCTGTGATGGAGCACATACAAATTATGTCTCTCTGGAAAGTTGCATCAAAATTGTGGGATCGTCTGACTCACATCCAAATTCGTCCTCTGAGATATTAACAACTTATATTCCAGTTCTGTCATTAAATCAGTTATCATCTCCAGCACGGATGATTTTCAGAAATTCATTGGCAGATTTATCGCAATCAATGTCACGTCTTTCTGTTCACAATTCTCAACCTGCTTTACCTTATGCTTCAGACAATGTTCAGTCACTTTTAGAAATCGAATTGTCTTCACAATCTCTTTCAAAACCTGTTTTATCCCAATCTACATCATCGTTTTCAGCACTATCACCTTATGATTTAAACGAATCGCCAATAAATCTTTCTCAGAAAATCTGCCCATCAAACCAAACAAATTTGAATAGATCATCATTTATGTTGCCACCAAATACGAGTTCTGTAGTTCAGTCAACATTAGATTCGTTTCTTCAGCAATCATCGTCATCATTACACCCAAACCTAAATGGTACAAGCAAATCATCTTCAAAGGTGCCAAGTTACGTTGTCTCTTCATCATTGATCGTACAATCACATGATGAGCAGAACAAAACATTGCAAACTGGTCAACATTCTTCTACATCTTATCATCTTAATCGGCACCATGCAACTGCAAGAAGCAAAAGTTCAGAAAGATTGGAAAATATCGAAGATGTCAGTAACGAAAAATTTGAATCTGGAAAATAATTTTGAATAAGAACATTTACAGACACAGATATATATACATATATATATATATATATATATACATACATATATATATATATACATATATATATATATATATATATATATATATATATATTTACAATATTCTATAAATTCTACCGAATGTTTGGCGTTAATATGTTTGTAGTTCGTTTTTTCGATTTTTCTCACTAAAGTTTTTTGGTGAACGTTTAGTTTATTAAAATTCAAAATAAACTTATTTTTCGAATTCATGCTGCAGATAAGGCCATATTTCGATTCCGAATGAATCATCGTCAGTGCTCCTTGCTGTATAAATAGGGAAATATTGACTTTGTCAAGATTAACTTTGACAAACTTTAAGATCTTCTTTGGTCTCCTTTTCTTCATCGATAGCATCATATTCTTCTTTGTCACTATTTACGATGCTAGTTTTTATTACTTCTTTGTTTTCGTTGTTGGTGAGGTTGTCATTTTTTGTTGTATATTTATTTTTGGTTTATTGATGTCAATTAGGACTGCTTCTGCAATTTTAAGATGCGTGTAGTTGCTGTTCTGGTATATTACTTTGGTGTTGCTGTCGAGGATTTCACGGCTAATTGTGATTGAGTGTGTTGAGTTCAAATGAGATTTGATAGCACCCCTCTGTTTATGCATCGTAAGCCTTCTAGTCAGTGAGGTAGTAGTAATCGACGTCTTTTTATTGAAGAATGATGACCAGCCAATTAAGAAACCTGACACCTAATTGGCATCAAAGTTCAATTTTACAACACCAAAGTTAATTTTTACAACGTCAAAGTTAATCTTGACAAAGTCAAGAGCATATACATATATATACAGCAAGGAGCACTGACGATGATTCATTCGGAATCGAAATATGGCCTTATTTGCAGCATGAATTCGAAAAATAAGTTTATTTTGAATTTTAATAAATAAACGTTCACCAAAAAACTTTAGTGAGTAAAATCGAAAAAACGAACTACAAACATATTAATATATATATATATATATATATATATATATATATATATATATATATATATATATAAGACCATAATTTTTACAATATTCTAACAATTTATTCTGAATTTTTGATAAACTAAACGTTCTCCAAAAAACTTTAGTGAGAAAAAACGAACTACAAACATATTAACGCCAAACACTTAGTAGAATTTATATAATATTGTAAAAAAATATATATGTGTGTGTGTATATATATATATATATGTATATATGTATATATTTATATATATACAGTTATTAAGAAATATCACCGCATTTTCCGCATTGTTGAGTTTGTAACAAGTTTTTCAATTTTTTGAACAATTATTTTATCAATATTATTCAATTTATTCAAATTAATAATAAAATTTCTAACTATTTTAGACTGCATTTGTTCATATATACATTTAAATAAAAGCTTTTTTCGGTAACCTTTACCATCATCAGTGTAATAGATTCAATGTTATTACATGCTAATTAAAAATGGTTACAAAAGAACATTTATTGAAAAAATTATTAGCAAAAAATATCGTGACGTAACAAACAAAAGTAACGATGATGAAACAACAAATGACATAATTACAAAAATACGATGTCGACAGCTTTTAAAACCGATGAGAAAATAATAAAAAGGATTGTCAACAGTAATGTAAAAACTATCAACAAAAATGATAAATTAAAACTTAGGCTTTATAATAACAAAACCTCCTCCCTTTTTCTTAAAGATAATTTCAATACTAAACCAGAATCGATAATGAAGAGCAGTCATCTAGTAAATTCTTTTGATTGTAAAATCTGCGATTGTAGTCACCGAAACACAGAATATATCAGATTTACTACTACGACTTTGTCAAGAAGTGACATTGTGGAACTAAAAACTGAATATAAGAAAATATATAAATGAAAAATTTATTCAAAACTATATATAATATATTATATATATATACATATATATATATATAATTATATACATAATAAATTCCACCGATTTATTAGTGTTTATCGACTTATATTCGAATTTTTCAATTTGTCTTAGTAAATTTTTATCAACATCCAACAACGAATTACGACAATACTTCCAACTCGAAGAATGAACAGCAATATCGTTAATTGGATCAACCAGAAATCTAACTATGATAATAATAAGAACGATAATGATAACGATAAAAACAATAATAATAATAGTGATAATAATGGTAATGATAATAACTATAACAATAATAACGACAATAATAGTAAAAACAATAATAATAAATTGAATTAATTTTGCGCCTCACAATTTTGACGCTGTTTTTGCCGCCTTGACAACTATTATTCAAAAATTTTTAAATTTTCATTTAAATTTTTCTTTAGAATTTATTTGTATATACTTTTAATAATATTAAAACTATAATAATACTAATCAATAAATTAATGAATAATGCACTGACGACGACGGTTTAACGTCGAAATAGATTTATCTGCAATAATTTTAATGAAATGTTTGTTAATGAAAACAAAGTTTCAATTTTAAACCGACTCAATTTTGTTGATAAAAATTTAATAATGCAAATTGAAAAATTCAAATATAATTGATAAACACTAATAAATCGGTGGTATTTATTATAAATATATATATATATATATATATATCAAGAATATATATATATATATATATATATATATATACATGACAATTCGGTCTTCTACCAGAATATATATATATACGACACGATAAGATATATTTTTATTTGCTTCAAAAATAAGAAAAGAAGACAGGATGACCATGATCAAGTTATCAGGTAACTTATCTAGCATGGCCACCTTACAAATAGTTTTAAACAAAATGAAATGTGAATGTGAACTCAAAATTTCGTAAAAGAGAAATAATAATGTTCAGGAACTAAAATTGTTTTACGAATAATCCACTGTATCCTTAAAAGTTAAAAATTAGAATTTTGAATTATGGTTCAGTTGTTCTTCAGTTTGTTTTTAAATGTTGACAAAACTTTAGTATCTAAAACAGAATTCAAATCACAATTAATTATTAAGTTATTTTAAATCCGTGGTCCATTGCACAAAATATGAAAAAATAAAATATTCGTTTTTGCTTTATTACATCGTTTTATGTTTTTGTGTCGATTATTAAAAACAAAACAATAATAATTTGAAAAAATGGTTGGTAATAATCCAGCGTAATGCTTAAAGACAAAATTTGCGCATAAATACACATGGAGATTCTTATAGTTCAAATTACGCGTTGAAATAAACAGCTCCTCTGATGGAGCATTAAATTTTGAGCAGGTAATGGTCTTCATTGCTTTTTTCATGAACCGTTGCAGCGGTTGTGTCAATGATAGATACGTCGATGCCCAAATGATGTTACCGTAGACGAGATGAGGAAGGCAAATTGAACTGTACAGAAGTCTTAAGGTACATCTTGGTAGAAAGAATTTTATTCTGCTGATTGCACCCAATGATTTGGATACTTTGTTTGTTACGCAGCCTATATGCTCTTTGAATGTTAATTTATTGTCAATTACGATTCCCAAGAATTTTGACGACTTAAATTCTGATATTGTTTCATCATCAACAATAATTTTATAAGGCTTTTTGTGATTTAAGTATTGGACGGGTCCAAAAACCATAAATTTAGTTTTTACCTTGTTGAGGGTCAGCCTGTTATTTCTGAACCATTGAACAACGGTTTGAACATTATTGTTAATATCACTTACTAATTCATTAATGTTTTTATCACTTTTGAATAGGTTCGTGTCATCAGCATACATCACGTAATTGAATCTTTCTTATGCGTTTGGCAAATCATTGACGTAAATGGCAAACAATAGAGGCCCAAGTATGTTGCCCTGAGGTACTCCCACATTGATCTTTTGCAATTTCGAATCTTTCCCATTTCACCTCACATACTGCAATCTATCACGCAGGTAACTCTCCAACAATCTGAAGACTTTCCCTCGCACTCCATAACGTTCTAATTTGTTTAGAAGGATTTCATGGTCGACGCAGTCAAACGTTTTACTTAAGTCTAGAAAAATGCCAGTGGTAAGCTTTTTCTCTTCGGATGCTTTGCCGATGTTACGAATCAGTTCAATAATTGTCATTTCTGTCGAATATTTTTTTCTAAATCCATATTGATTTTTTGA